GGTTCTGTGGGGTGGAATGCGCCCGCCGCGCAGGACATCCGAATAATTATTAAATCCGGAAGCTATCAACATGGATTCCGGAAGTTTTCACAATGGATTCCGGCATTTTTCAAAACCGATTCCAGGATTGCAAAAGTAGGCCCGACATTGTTCCTGTTTTGTTTCTTTCTTTTCTTGTCAAATTTACCCTCGGGGAATTTTCCAGAGTCGCACGTGATTTGCCCTACCAGGTCTTTGGAAATCCGCGGACGCGCGCAGTGCTCGGCGGCGGGCGACGGGGCGGTGCGCCACCGCCCCCCCCCACACCCGCGCTAGGCAACGAGAAGGGGGATCAGCAAATGCCAAATAGCCCCCGACGGGCGACTCCTCGATTGCGAGTGGGTGACCGACCAGCGGTGCCAGTGAGAGTAGACAATGTTCCACGCAAAATGTAACTCGCGCGAATGCTGTTAGAAATTCTGGAATCCCAGGAACGTGTCAATAACAATGTGTATCAACATATTCGTCTCGTCCTAATCAGAGCCCAGCCAGAGCAAGTGGGAGGAGTGTGCCGACACGGCGAACCTCCTCGTCCTCATTTCCTCTTCCTCCATCTCCGCCTCCTCCTCCTCCGCCTCCTCCTCCTGCTTCCCCGCATCCTCTCTGAGGGGTAGCAGTTTGTGGGATCCCAAACCCGGATAGCGTAGCGCCAAAGAGGTCTTCAACACCTCTCGGAGGAGCCTGGAAGCTCCTGGAAGGAGCTTCCGAAAAAGCTTCTGGAAAGTTTGCTGGCACACGCACTAGTAGTCAGTTAGACAGGGCCTTCGGGGGCAAGCTGCGACCTCACAGGAGGCGCTGCGAGGTTCCTAGACCGACTCCAGAACGAGCTTCCAGGCTACATTGCGGTGCTGGCTACTCGTCTGAAGCCATCCGCGCTCTCAGAGAGCTATGCGGCAACAGTAGCAGCAGGATGGAGAAGAGTATAGTCAACCCGCGTAGTAAGGATAGGCAACCTTCCCAAGGGTACCTTTTGAAACCTTGCCTCTTAGGCCCATCCTTAGCGACTTTCGCTAGCCAACCTCGTTCGAAAAACGTTAACATGGCCCTCCAAGGCGCTTGCATCCTTATTGGGCATCCTTATCATACGGGTCGGTTGTACCAAGCCACAGGAATCTGCACGCCCACTCATTACAGAATCCCGGCCCTCATTTCCCACAAGGAAGTCGGGATAGAGCCGCTCCGTTGTGAGTTCCACCGGTGCCCCCCTACAAAGGCAGAGCAGTGCGAAGAATACAGCCCGACTTGGGCCATCCCAGATGATGATGATGATGCTGCTGCTGATGATGATGATGCTGGTGATGATGATGCTGGTGATGGTGATGATGCTGATGATGCTGATGATGCTGATGACGATGGTAATGATGCTGATCATGATGATGATGACGGTAGTGGTGGTCGTAATGATGATGTTTGCGATGTTGATGATCATTTTGGTTATCAGTATGATTATGATGGTGGTGATGGTGATGATGGTGATGTTGATGATGTCGATGATGTTGAGCGTGACGATGAAGACGAATACGATGATGACGATGATGATGGCGGTGGTACAAGATGATGCTGCTGCTGATGCTGATATTGATGATGCAGCGGGTGATAATGATGGTGATGGTGCTGGTGGCGGTGGTGGTGCTGATGATGATGATGATGATGACGATGATGATGATGATGATGATGATGATGATGATGATGATGATGATGATGAGGATGAGGATGATGCTCATGTGAACACAACGGCTATGATAGTAGAAGCAATTGATTTGTAGCTTTCTCGAACCGAGCCCGCCCCGCGCTGCACGCCAGGCGTGCCCGTGGTTGATGCGTGGGGGGCCCGCGGTCAAAGCGCGGGCAGTCCACGAGCCTGCTCCTGGATTCGTGGCCTATTCCAGGCCCACCCTCAGCGGCGAGGAGGCCACGTCCGAGGCGGTGGAGGACTCGGAGGCCGTGCCTTGGGTCGTCATCCCAGAGAACACCTAACGCAAACCGCCTAGCGGGGCGGCAGGTGCAGGATCTGTGGTCCAGGCCGCCGCTGGCGTTGGCAGCCGCTGCTGTGCAGTCTGGGCCGCCCCCCGTTCCAGCGAGGACCTCGTTGGTGTGCATAGGGGCGGTGCGATCGCGTGGCAGGCGATCGTGGCCAGGCTCGGAGACAGCAAGTACACTAGCTGGCGGGATCGCCTGTGGCGGTTTCCCTGGGTGGGCGAGGCAACCGACAGGTTCTTCGACGAGCAGCGGGTCTTCACATATACCGTAAAGGTCTTCGATTGGAGCAGGGCGCAATGACGATGCTGCCTGCAGGTGCGCTGCAGCAGATTGTGGATGCTGCGCTCACTTGGAGCCAAGCGCGCCAAGCTCGACGGCCCCGTCGCAGTCGATAGATAGCCTCACCGAATTCACGGAGCTCCTGATCGTGGTTCCCGCCGTCTCCTCCCGTACGGCGCGGATTCGCTCGCTTCCGTGGACTATGTCTCGGCGGCGCTGCGGTCAGCCCTCTGCGAAGGGATGCCGGCGGATGTGGCCTGCGTGAAGGTAGCTTACCCCCCTCGTTCTTGGCGAGGCTGACAGAAAACTGCGCGGGGGGCGAAGTCATCGAGTTCGACTCGGCGAACGGCGCCGCCCAGCCAGACCTGCTCGAGTTGACCGAGCTCGCCCCGCAGCCCAAGGATTGGACCGTCGGGGTCCTGCTGCGGCCCGTCGCGTTCGCCGCTCCCGCGGCGCAGGGTGGCCCCAGGCGCGTCGGCACCCAGCTTTCCGTCGACGGTCAGGTCGATGGCAGAGGTGGCTCACGGCCGACGAGCATGATGGCGAGGGCGTGTGGGGCGACGAAGTCGACGCAGCCCGCGAGGCTGCCGCGTGGCGCCTGCGTGGCGCGTGCGTGGCGGACAACCCGGACGCGGAGGGAGAGGGGCTCCTGGCGGGCCTCGGGGACTCATAGTCCCGCCCATTAGTGGGCCCACTGCAGGGGGCAACGCTGCCGCTGGCTGCACCCGCAGGAAGGCCCGCGTCCACCGCGCGCGCTGGCCGCACAGAGAGGCAAGGGCCAGCGACGAACAGGGCTAAAAGGGTAGCACCCCTTCGGCGGATCAACATATCGCACGACGACCTGCAGAGCACGCTCGGGAACTTCAAGAGCGAGCTGCTGGATGCCATCGGGGGCCAGCTGAGGGACTTCACGGGCCGAATCGATCAGATAGAGAAGAGCAGCATGGAGACCTGTGGCTTCGCTTCTGTGGCATCCCCCCCCGCCCTGGATTCGCTGGCACCTGCCCCCAGGTCCCAAGCCGGCCCCCTTCAGAGCTCGCCCGCCGCCCGACCCAGGACGACGGCACATTTGCTATGGCCACGGCCAACCCTGGCGTCTGTTCAGACCAGGGCGGCAAAGGAGGCCATGGCGGCGGCAGGCGGGCCACTCCAGCGGGCCGGCGGACCCTCCCCCAGTAGAGCAGGTCGCCAAGGACTTTTTCTGTTTCTTGCAGTGGCCGGGCGCCCAGGTCCAGGAGACCGCTCATGGCTTCGATCGCCCATTTTCGGAACACGCACACACACACACCTCAGAGGTTTCTCGGCCCCACCGGGAGCTCCACTGGAAGCTTCAGCGGCAGGGTATCGCATGCGGCCCCTTCGCCCTTTCGGCACACCCTTCGCACGTTGCGTGGCTACACAGGGAGCTCCACAGAAGGCATCAGCGGCAGGGTATCGCGTGCGATGCCCCGCCCATTGCGGCATGCCGAAGGTTTCATGGAAGGGTATCGCATGCGCCCCTTGCAAATCCTGGTTCGCCCCTCGCGCATTCAGCGTCCCCACAGGGAACTGCTTCCCTTTCGCGATTCGCGGCGCATTGCCTTGTATATGACGGGCCACTTCCTGCGCTACATGCCTGCATGGGTTGGGTCCTTTGCCAGACAAGTTTGCCCGTTCATATCTTCAGTTATTTTCTCTCGTCTCCGTTGTTATTCCGTTTTCTCGTCTCTCGCCTCTCTTTTCCCCTCACGCTCCGCCACTGCAGTGTTGTATTATCCGTTATTTATATCCATGCCCCGTGTGTTGTTCTTCTCCGTCGTTTTCCAACCAGCCTTGCCTCAAGGGCTCGCGTTTGCCTGTGAAGAGAGTCGCTGCCTAATCGCCGTCGGCCGAATAGCTCCTCGCGACGTGGGTGCCTGATAGTTGCGCAGTTGTTGCGGATCACTACATTGTTGCATGGCTGGGTTTGACACCATGTAGGTCTGCATTCCTATTGTAGTGCGTCGCATTGTTTAGTAATGTTATAATACAGTAGTACGCGATGCCGTTGAAACGTAGAATTGCATGTAAGCGCTATGGAAGGTGATGCGGCAGTGCGAGTAACATCGACTTGTTTGTAACGCTACGCAACACTGTAGTATGACCTGCTGACGCTATGCGTTTGCCGTGATGTGGAGTCATACGCGAGGCGATAACAGGCTAAGTGTTGACCTCCCATGCTACTGTTTTGCGCCGTTCAGTTGCCATGGACTTGGCACGCCAAGATCTGTGATGCGACGTGATCATGCCACGCTGTAGTATTTGTTTTGTCGGTATCGTCCTTGTGCTTTTGAGCTGGCATCGTCACCCCTTCTCACACGTATACAATGTCCCGAATTTCCCTTGCAGTTTCTGCGCGTCTCAGAGCAGCAGTGGCCCACCCCATGCTCTGCCGCGACTTCCTCCGCGCCCTTTTGTTGGGAAGCACCACCGGTCGTGATGCGTCTTGGGCCTTTCGTTCCCTCGGGTTCATCCTCCTCCAGCCAGCGATGAAGGGGTTCCCTGTGATGTTCAATATTGCTCCTTCTCCTCCTCCTTCTCCAACGGGGGAAGAGGGGGGAGGGAGGGAGGAGCAGGAGGGGGGAGGCAGGGAGGGAGGAGTATGCATTAGCTGCTCAAGCGAGACACTGCCACAGCCGATCTGTTCTGCGGCCGCCGCCGCCATCGGCTCCCTTAAGCGGGCGATGCGGCGGGACCGGATCCAGTCCGTCCACTCGCGCTGCGTGCAGCAGGATCTCCTCCCCTCTTTTCCGGCCTTCCTCCCGCGTCCTCCCTCAGCCCTCCTCGCTCCGCCCTGCACCTTCCGCGCTGCACCCCGCCCCCTCTCCTCCCTCCTCCATGCTCTATTATACCGCCTCCCTCTTCTTCCTCCTCCTCCTCCTCGTCCTCCTTTTCTCCCTTCGCCCTCTTCCCTCGGTCCTCCCTTCACCCTCTTCCGCCTCCCTCATACTCCGCCCTCCGACTTCCCTGGAGCAGTGACAAAACTAACAGGCGCCTTTACGCGCATCGAGCCGTGTGGGCTTGCACGTTCGGGTGCACGTTGAGGCTCACACATGAAGCGCGTGCGCGGGACCCCACCCTAGTGAACATCGGCAAATCCTCCTCCATCTCTAATCTTCCTCCTTCTCTTTCCTTCCCCTCTTCCTCCTCCATCCTCCTCTTCTTCCCCCCTTCCTCCTTGCTCTTCTTCTCAGCAGACGCGTATCTTCTGCTATGTCGTCCACCCACCTGCGACACTTAAGGGGGCAGAGGAGTGGTCTGATCCATCTGAGTGTCCAGGCGGCGGGGTCATGTTTCGTCATCCCTGCCTATGTTCCACTAGCACTGGTGCGCCACACTCATGCTAGCGGACCAGGCTGCGAAGAGATGTCTTGACCTCGCCCTCTCCCAAAGTCCACGCATGGGGCCCTCCATACGCAAGCTAGTAGCAACACTGCGCACCACAAACCAGTAACGAATGCCAGACACCTTTCCCCAGCGTTCCGTCCATCAATCATCTAGATGTGTCCTCTTCCTAACTCCTGCATCCGCCTTCCTTCTTCTCTTCCTCCTTTCCCCCTTTCCTCCCTGCCTTCTTTCTCCCTCCCCCCTCCTCTCTCCTCTCTCTTCTCCCACTTTCCTCTTCCACCTCTACATCCAGAGAATGAGGCGGAGGAGGATGAGGAGATCGTCCGGGAACTGCGTGAACCGAGGCATGGAAGGAAGGAGGAGGAGGAGGTGAAACAAGGAGGATGCGGAAGGAGGAAGGAAAAGGAGCATTGGGAGCGGAAGGGCTTAGAGCAGGATAAGAGAGATAAGGACACCCCATGATCTCTCGAAGCTTAACCCCCCCTTGAAATTCTAGACGCTACGCGGGTCTCCCTGGCACACGGGCTCCCAGATCGCCCATTCCACCCTGGCATCGTCGCAGTGTTTTGTGCAGCAGTGTGCTCTATTCTTACATGGTTCCTCCTCCCACTTCCAATCGGAAAGACGGTCAGCCGTCCCGGGCTCTTACGATATTGACAAAACGGCCATCAGCCGTCCCTGGTAGTTACATCTCCGACAAAACGGCCATCAGCCGTCCCTGGCTCTACGATCCTGACAAAGCGGCCACGTCCCTGGCATGGACATCCCCGACAAAACGGCCATCAGCCGTACATGGCTTCCTAGTTATCTACCTCCCACGACCGCTTCCCACCTCCCTGCTCCGCTGTCCCTCCCCGCGCCCCGCCCATGCCCTGGGCTAGGGTGACACGACCGTCCACAGCCCCCCATCCGCGGGCCCACTGCGCACTCCCCCCTTTCTCTACTAGAGTTGGGGTGGCTGGCCCGCCTGGACACCTCCAGGACCCCTTCCTCAGTGGGTCCTGGCACGGTTGCTGTGGCCATGGGTGTCCGCTGCTCCTGCCCCGCACCCAGCCCACACTGGTTGCAGCAGCGCAGCGGTTCTGGCACGCCTCACCATGGGCCACCCCTTCTCGGCAGATGCCGACGCCCTGGGCCTGGCTTCCCCACCCGCCGCCCCGCGCTGCCGGGATCACTTCAGTTCCCAGCTACTTGCGCCTCCCGTGCGGGGTTCGCCCTCCCCCTCCGGCGCCTACCTGCCCTTCCGCAGTCCGCCGCCCCTCTCTGGGGACGGCAGGGCCGCACCACTGGCGACTCCCCGTCTTTTCGGCCAGTCGCTCCCTGCCTCGCGGCTCGCCTGGCTCCTCTTGGCCCCGCGAGTGCCGGCCCGCTCCAGGGCCCGTCTCACCCCACTGCGCCCTGGCCTGCTGGCCATAATGCCTGGGGGGCAGCCAATCGCTGGGGCAGGCGGCCGCCCCCCACCCGCTTCTGCGGCGCACTATAGCTAGACAGCCTAGGTTGGTTAGATGCGGGTGCAAAGGTGCGCGTCTACCGCGCCGACACCTGCAGCCACTTTGAGGCCCCCAGGGCGCGCTCGCCCCACCAGCGCCTGTCTTGTCTCACCAGGCGGCTATCGCCTCCCCACAGTCCGGGGGCTGCCGACAGCGTCCGGGTCAATACTCTCGCCGGCACGCACTGTCTGAGCATCCTGGCCAGCAGCCTCCCTCTTCGCCACTGTCAGTGTTTCTCCAGCACCAGTGGGACAACAGAGACTGGTGCCCCAGAGGGCTCCCTGTTCCTCCCAGCAGTACAGACATTTGTGGTCGGCAGCTGAACCTTCTCGGCCACCTGGACCAGGGGCCCTCACGGTCTTCGGCGTGCTTTGCTTCGACGGCCATTAGCTGTTCCCTGGCACTCTCTCTCTCTATATCTTTTTTTTTGTTCTCTCTCTCTCTCTCTTTCTTTCTTTCTTTCTATCAGGAGCGAAAGAAGGACGTACATGTACATGAATCCACGCTGGTTTCGAGAGTACGCGTTGCGCAAATGTTCGTATAACGCGGCCAGTCTCGCGGATCGAGGCGCCGTGTTCATGTACATAGCTGGGCGCGTACGTCCTTTGTGGGCTCCCTATTCTACTTGGAAAGGATGAGACGGCCATCTGCCTTATGCACCTGGCGATTACATGCGGTCCGACAGCCCTGGCTCTAACTTTGCAGTGTCCCGTCCCGGCTACGTCCACACCTTCCAGTTGGTCCAGCGGACTACAGGTGCCGTTCGGAGAGTGGACCTGCCAACAGCAGCCCTGGCCTAGGACTTGGCGGCGCTACAACTCCGCGGAGAAGTACTACGCGCTCCTCGTCGCCACAGCTACGCGCTCCCTTTGGGACCGTCGACAGCAGCGGTAACTTGGACGCTGACGGCCATCAGCCGTTCCCTGGCTCCTCCCCCATTCCCCCTCCCCCTGTGCTCTCTTGAGACGACCTTCAGCCGTGTCTGGTTTTGCGTCTACTGTGATGATCACAGCCCTGGCTAATCGCTCACAGTTCCCTACCCCTGGCAGAAGGTAGCACAGTCAAGCCCGCACCGCAGCGTACTGGGCGCAAGCAGGCTCCCAACCTGTCGCCATGGCAGCAGTGAAAAGTGTACCTTCGAGACGTGCGGAGCATCGATGTGCAGCCCTGGCCATCACGCGGACGCGGTAAAGCGCAACAGGCGGCATGCGATTGTGACGGCATCCCAGCCCACCACCCAGGCGCAGACTCCATGCTCCCGACAGTATATAGTTCAGTCGCCTAGGACAGCAGGTGAGGCCGCCGTTTCTTTCGGTCGAGGCTGCTGGGGGCCCGCTACCCTGCGTGCGCTGGACAGACCTGAAGTGCGCTATTCACTACAGGGTGAGGTCGCCGTTCCTTTCGGTCGAGGCGTGCGCCCGCGATCGGTCGGCTTGTGACCCGTGACCCTTAACAGACGCACTGACAGCCTCGTGGACATCTTCGTCCTTGAAGTTTGCGCCTGGGGCTGGGAACAGTGCGCTTCTTCTCATGTGGCAGGCGACCTTTCAGTCGCAATGGACTGCGCGTTGCAGCTGACGGCACCTTGCCATATTTCTCCTGAGCTTCAGTCGCTCTACTTGCACGGTTCGTATGGGTTCGAGGGGGGTCACTGCGCCTGGCGTTTAACTGGCGACAGAGCTGGCTCGTGCCTGGGTTGCGTTGCTTGGCAGCTCTCTGTCAGGCTACCGCGCGACCTCCAATTCAGCAAATTGGACAGTCGCAGCCTGAGCAGCTGCGTTAGTCCACTCGCAGTCGCTCCCAGGCCTGACCTATGCGTGTCTCGGCTTGGACATTTGCTTGCATGGACGATGTGTGGACGCTTTCTGCCATTGGCCCTGGCATCCACAGCCAGTGCAGCTTGCAGCCTACCTGAGGCGACGCTTAGGCAGCTAGTTGTTTAGGCTTCGCCGCTCTAGCTTGCTCCTGTTTTAATGTGTAGGCCCGCGCCCCGGACTTACGACTCGCCGCTTGCGCTCTCGCCTGCGGCTGCGACCAAACAAAGTATCCCCACCAGCCCATCCAGAAACGATGTCCAAACGAGTTGAGGTGATCAGGGGACTGCGGCAGCAAAGAGGAGGACGACCGAACCGTGCAAAGGAGTGAGGAGGAGAAGGAGGAGGTGGATGGATGGATGAGGGAGTGGGAAGAAAGAGGATTAATAGGATGAGGAGGAGGCGGAGGAGGCGGAGGAGGAGGAGGAGGAGGAGGAGGAAGTGAAGGAGTAGGAGCAGGAAGGAGGAACAGGAGGAGGAGGAGGAGGGCAAACACAAGGGCCAAAGGTTTCTTGGATGCCTCTTGGAGCCTCTTGGGGTATCTCTTGGGCGATTCTTTGTGGCCTCTTGGGGCGCCTTGGGGTTCACTTGGCGATCCTGGGGGGCTCTTCGGGGTCTTGGGTGCCTCGGGGGGGGCCTCCTGGGGCCGCTTACGGTCTTCCTGGGGGCCTCCTGGGGGCCTCTTGGGGGCTTTTGGGGGCCATCTTGGGGCCATCTTGAGACTTCTTGGGGCCTCCTGGGCGTTTATTGGGGCCATCTTGGAGGAGATCGGTCAACGAAGGGGGGGTCCTTAATCACCCCCCCCAGGAAGCCCAAATGGGGCCAAAACCATGGTAAACACAATGGTTTTGGCTTCCTCGCCGGGGCCGTTTTGGACGCTCTAACTACCCGCGGCCCGCCCCGTCCAGGTCTACGGGGAGGGGGTAGGGGGAGGGGTAAACCCCTCCCCGGAGGGGAAGAGGGAGGGGTGGAAGAGGAGACGCCCTAAACCACCGACGCCCAGAGGGCTGGTAGGATTTCTAAAGCCCTGTTCCTTGCTCCTCCTTCCTTCCCCTTCCGCCAGGACGTCTCCCGCATCTCGGACGCCGTCTCGAAGTTCTCCGAGAAGGGCGAGCGCGGAGAGATCCCTCTGGTGCTGATCCCCGCCCACCGCAGCCCGTTCTCCGGCACTGGCTGGTGGCTGACGATTCCGACTGGTTGCTACTGCCTCATGCAGCGCTTCGGTAAGGAGTTCGTGTATGTGTATGTGTGTGCATGCGTGCGTGTGCGTGTGCGGGTGTGCGTGTGTGTGTGTGTATGTGCTGGTTGTCTCCCGTTTCAGGAGGGACCAGATCTTCAGCAGGCCCCGGACCTCCCGTTTCTGGAGTTACGCATTTGTTTGAGCAATTGGGGGGTCTGTGGCCCTCTGTCAGGCCGCAAGGACATCACCTACGGCCCGCGGCACACAGCCAGTTCCCCGGGTTGTCTCGAGAGTTTTGGGGCCCACGTCGTGATCTACGAGCACGATGTCGGAAGTCTGGGAGCTCAAGTTGCCCCTCTTCCCGCGTCTGTTTACATCAGCACGTCGCGTAGCAGTGATGCGCTCGTCCACCGTGTTATTGCTCGCTGTGGCGAAAAGAATCGAAAGCAGTCGGCTAAGAGGACGTCGGACTCGCGCCGCCCGGTGGTTCCCTCAAGCCGCCCTTCTACCGGATCGCGTACATAGTGACGCAGCAGTCGTGCACCTATAACGCCCCGGTTCCGTCCTCCTCCTCCTTATCCTCCTCATCGTTCTCTTTTCCCTCCGCATCCTTGAAATCGTCCTCGTTCTCGAGTTGGTCCTCGTCCTCCTCGTCCTTCCTCCTTTCCTCGTCCTCCTCCTCGTCCTACCTCTTCTCCTCGTCCCCCTCTCCCTTGTCGTCCTCGCGTTTGCCCTCGTCCTCCTCCGTTTCCTCCTCTTCCTCCTCCTCATCCTCTGCATCCTCTCTCTCTCCCTCTCGTTCCTCCTCCTCGGCCTTCTCATCCTCCTCGTGGTCCTCTTCCTTCTGCTCTGCGCCCTCCTCTTCCTCCACTGTGCGTTCGCTCTCCCTGCTGGCCGTCCTCCCCAGCCGTGGTCTGCTGGCCTGCTGTTTGGGCGCAGGGTGGTTCTCGCTGCCGCTCACCCCTCTGCTGCAGCTTCCAGAGCTTATCCCCGTGGACACTCGGCATACCCCTCCTCCACGCCCTCCTCATCGTCCTCCAGATGTGAGGTGCTGGAGTGCCCGACCTCGGACAACGTGAGGGTAAGCGTTGACATGGTCATCACCTTTATGATCCGCGACCCTTCCAAATTTGTCTACAAGCTGGGTGGACCGCCTCTTCCTTCTCTTTGTCTTTCTCCTTCTCCTTCTCTGCATCTTTCTCCTCCTCGGGTCCTAAAACCGGTGGGTCTCGTAAAACCCTACCACAGCCTACCTCCACGCAGGAACTCCCAGGGACGGTCAGCGACTTTTCAGCCCAGGACCAGAATCCTCCTCCTCATTCTGCATCCTTGCCTCCTGCTTCTCTCTTCCCCTTCCCTTAGGTGCTGTGCACTTCGACCAGCTGCTGACCGGGGCCGTGGACGAGGGCATCCGTCTCCTCGTGAGGAAGCAGTCCCACCAGACGGTCAGGACGTCTCGCGCGGCGAGATGGAGGCGGGAGGTGGAGGATGGTGATGATTGTGATGATGGCGATGCTGATGTTGATGAAGATGATGCTGATGATGATGATGATGATGATGATGATGATGATGATGATGCTGATGAAGATAAATATTAAGTTTTTATTGCGAAGGCCTTACGGCCGATGCCGCCGACCCTGAAGGGGGACGATGAACGACGACGACGACGACGACGACGACGAGGACGACGACGACGGCGACGGCGACTACGATCGCGAGTCCTTGTTGGGGCCTTCCCGGGCCCACTTGGGCTGTCCTGGGGGGCCTTTGGGCCGTCTTGGGGCCTTCCCGGGCCATCCTGGCGTGTACTTGGGCCGTTCTGGTGAGCTCTCGGAGGCAACTGGGGCCGACGTTGAGTGTATGAAGCCTGGAAGTCGAGCAGGCGAAAAAACATGGGCGATTTCGGGACCTCCTGGTAGCCTCTTGGGGTGGGGAGCTCGAAATGTGGGTTGGCTTTCCCCCTCTTCGTCCTCTTTTGGAGTGTTCCTGGGGCTCTCTTGGGCGTTCTCGGTCGGAGAAGGGGGAGGGGGGGGGTCACGATTCGCAGGACGCTTCCAGGGACCCCGCGCGATCTTCTCCTCCCTCTCACCCTCCCCCGGACTTCCCCTCTCTCGTGGGGAAGGGATTACAGGAACGGGGTCCCCTTCGAGTCGATTACGCTGTTGTTCGATTCTCCTCTGGCTGGAGCGTTTGAGGAGGTGGGCCGAGGGAAGAGGGGGGGGTGGTTCTGGGAGGCTCATGCAGGTTTCAGGGTGGTGCGGGGGAACAAACGACGAAGAGCGAGGGGGAAACAGAGAAGGAGGAGGATAAGGAGGAGGAGGAGGAGGAGGAGGAGGCAGAGGAGGAAGAGGAGGAGGATCGAGGATCGGGGTTCGAGTCGATGTTTCATTTTTCATTGTTTTTTTTGGGGGGGGGTCTCTCTGGAAGCCTCCGAGGATTTCTGGGGACGTCCTGGAGGCGTCTTGGGCCATCGTGGGGCCCTCCTGGGCAGTTAGGGGGCGCTTTTGGGCGCTTCTTGGGGTGTCTCGGAGCGATATTGGGGGCCTCCTGGGCCGTCTTGGCGCGTGGGCAAACGTCAGAGGCAAGAGCGCTAGATTCCTGCAAAAACGTATGGAACATCTACGATTGTTGCCTATTGGAGCTCTCGTGGGAAAGCTCCTGGATGCCTCTTGGGGCGTCTTGCAGGCCTCTTGGGCCGTCTGGAAGCCGTGAAGGCGTCTTGGACAGATCGTCAAGCGAGTCGGGGTTCTCGTGGACTGTCTGTGGGGCATATTAGACCACACTTGGCCCTGTTTGGAACTCTTTTGAGCTCCGGGAATTCCCGGGAGAGCGTCGTATTTGACCCCCCCCCCCCGGGACCTCCCCCAGGACCCCCCCCGTACCCCCCCCCCCGCCCGGCGGGGGAGGGATCGAAGGGAAGGGGCTTCCCTTCGACTCCATTACGGCGTTCCTCAACGCCTAGGAAAGGAAGGGAAGAGGACGACAGCCACGACGACAAACGAATGACGGGCTGAGGCGGTCCCTGGGAAAGGGGGGGAAGTGGACGACAGAGACGACGACAAACGAATGACGGAGATGACGACTCGCACGGACGAAGCCCCTCACACACGCCGACAGGGTCGGCGGATTATACTGACGATGATGATGCGGATGCTGATGATTATGATGCTGCTGCTGATGATGAGGTAGTGATGATGGAGATGAGAATGATGTTGCTGCTGCTGCTGCTGCTGATGATAATGATGATGATGATGATGATGATGATGATGATGATGATGATGATGATGATGATGATGATGATAATGATGATGACGATGACGATGGCGATGACGATGTTGATGACGATGTTGATGATGACGACGATGATGGTGATGCTGAGGAAGAGAAGGACGAGGATGCTGAGGATGATGATGAGGATGATGATGATGATGCGGAGGAGGAGGAGGAGGAGGAGGAGGAGGACGTCGAGGATGATGTGGTCACAGCGGTTATGATAGTAGGAGCAAATGATCTGCAGCTTTCTCGGACCGAGCCCGCCCCGCGCTGTGGGCCTGGCGTGCCGGCAGTTGATGCGTGGGGTCGGCCAAGGCGCGGGCGGTCCGCGAGCGTGCCCTTGCATTCGAGGCCTATCCAAGGCCCCTTTCCAGCGGCGGGGAGGCCGCGGCAGAGGCGGCGCAGGACCCAGAGCGGGCCCCCATGGGTCGTCATCACCCGGAGAGCACCCAGCACGGGCCGCCCAAGGGGGCGGCAGGTGCTGAACTTGTGCTTCGGGCCGCCCCTGCCGCTGGCAGCCACTGCTACGCAACCTGGGCGGCTCCGGCTTCGAGCGATGGCCTCGTCGGGGTGAACAGAGGAGGCGCGGTCGTGTGGAAGGTGATCGTCGGCAGACTCGAAGACGACAGGTACACTAGCGGGTGGCATCGCCTGCTCTGTTTCAAGTCATGGGGCGATGCAATCGACAAGTTCCTTGGCGAGCATTGGGGCTTCACATGCACCGTCAGAGTCTTCTTCGTCTGGACCAGGGCACAATGACGATGCTACCATCAAGTGCTGCGCAGCAGACAGAGGGCGTCTTGCTGCGCTCGCAGCTGTTCGAGCTGCCGATAGCCGGGGGCCGAGCTGCCAGCACCGCGGCGCGGTGCGAGGCCCGCGTCGCCGGCGCCAAGATCGTGAAGTTCGATTGCCCCGTCGCCGTCGACGCCGTGGCTCAAGACGACCTCGGCGACCTCAAGCTTGAGGAGCTCCTCATCGTGGTGCCCGCCGCCTGCCTCCCTCACGACGCCCGCTCACTCGCATCCGTAGACCATGTTTCGGCGACGCTGCAGCTGGCCCTCGGCGAGGAGATGACAGCAGACGCGGCCTGCATGAAGGGCTCGCCCGCATTCCTGGCGAGACTCACCGAGAGCTTCGCGGAGGACGAGGTGATCGAGTTCTTGACTCAGCTGGCGGGTCTGCTCAGCCGGACCTGCTCGAGCTGGCCTCGCAGCCCGGCGACTGGAACATCGGGGCCCTGGTCCGACACGTCGCGCTCCCCGCCCCCATGGCGGCCCAGAGCGCATCAGCTTCCAGCTCTCTGTCGACGGGCAGAGCGATGGGGAGAGGTACCTCGCCGCCGACGAGCACGATGGCAAAGGCATGGGAGGCGACGAGGTCGGCGCAGCCCGCGAAGCTGCCGCGCAGGAGTGGGAGGGTCGGCCGCGTGGCGCCTACGTGGCGGGCAGCCCGGACGCGGAGGGAGAGGGGCCCTTGGCGGGTTTTGGGGGCACGCACGGTCCCGCCCGCCCAGCGGCCCCCCTCAACGGGTGACGCCGCCGCTGGCCGCGCCCGCAGAATGGCCCGCGCCCGCCGCTCGCCCCGCTGCAGGCGGGCGCGCGGGGCGCGCGGCGATGCAGGGGCTTGCGGCGAGCGGCGCCAGGAGGGCCGCAACCCTTCGGCGCGTCAGCGGGGAGCTGCTGGAAGCCACCGGCGGCCAGCTGAGGGGCTTCTCGAGCCGAGCCGAGCAGGTCGACAAGTGCGGCTTGGGGGCCCGTGGCCTCGCTTCTGCTCGGGCCCTCCCCCGCTGCTCAGGGGTCGCTCCTCTAGGCGGGGCGTTCCGCGAGCGTGCCGGCGCCTGCCCCCTTTGCCCCAAGCAGACCACCCTTTCAGAGCTCGCCCGCGGCGCCGCCCAGGACAGCGGCTCAGCTGTTGGGTGCGCGGCCCGCCCCGGCGCCTCCCCAGTTCAGGGCGGCAGATGAGGACTTAGCGACGGCTCGGGGGCTGCCCCGGCGGGCCGACGGGCCCCCTCCGCGCGAGCAAGGCGGCCGCGCGTCTCCAGAGAGGAGGGCCGACCTCGACTTCGGGGCCATCGTCGAGGCAGGCGGCCGCGATGCACACAAGGCCATCCAGCTTGCGATGCTGCAGGCGCTGGAGAAAGTCGGCGTTTCCAAAAAGGCGAAGGAGGACGAACCCACCCTGGGCGACCTCCTCTTCGGAAGAGGAGGGGGAGGAGGAGGAGGAGGCGGAGGAGGAAGAGGAGGAAGAAGAGGAGGAGGACGACGAGGCGGCGGAGGAGGAGGAGGAGGAGGAGGAGGAGGAAGGGCAAGGGAGAGGACGTGAAGAAGCAGGAGGAGGAATGGGGAGGAAGACGGGGGAGGAGGAGGAGGAGGAGGAGGAGGAGGAGGAGGAGGAGGAGGAGGAGGAGGAGGAGGAGGAAAAGGAGGAGGAGGGCGGAAAAGGAGGGTGGATGGGGACGGGGAGGGGGACGAGCAGGGAGGCGGAAACGCACTGCCAGGACGCTCCGAGGGAACCGCGCCGACAGCATGCTCGCCTCTCTGAACGAGATCGGGGGTTGCTGAAGGTACCCCTGGCCCAGGGAGCCCCCAGCTTCTCGCACCCTGTTGGGGCCGCCCGGTGCTGGTGAGGGGTGCTCTGGAGGCCGCCTTGCAAACCTTGGGGGCACCTTGAGCCAGGGGCGTTTCTAGCAACACCCGACGAGAAGTTCGCCGAGTCGGGCGTGGTGTTCTCCAATTGCACGGTCACCGCCGTTGTACTCCCTGAGGCTCGGCGGCAGCGTCGTCGTCGTCGTGGTCGAGGTCGTCAACGTCGTCACCGTCGTCGTCCTCGTCCTCGTCCTCGTCCTCGCTTTCGTCCTCGTCTTCGTCCTCGTCCTCGTCCTCGTCGTCCTCGTGCTTTTGTTGCAGTTGAAGTTTTGGGCGCCTCTGGGGAAAACCCTGTCGCCAAGGCTGGACGCGGCTGCCAGAGTGGGGCCGATCCCGTCCGAGAAGCCCCCCTGCACGCTTGGAGGGCCCCCCCGCCCCTGCACGCGCCGTGCCTCCGCTGCGCGCAGCGCCAGCAAGGAATTGGAGCAGAGCCTGGAGACGACCACGGCGATGAGGAAGGCGATGGAGAAGACGACCCGCGAGCACGAGTTCGAGATGGGCGAGCCCTCGTTCTGCTTCCCCTTTCCACCTCTATGCCCCGAGACCGCTTTTTCCTTATCCCCTGTGGCGCTCACGGGCGTGGCAGGGGGAGGGAGAAAGGGGGGAGGGGGGCCGGTCACGTCGCCATTCGCGCGGGCGCCGTGCAGGAATGCTTGGGAGCGGCTGATTCCTGGACGGCGCTGGCGCGAATCGTGACGTGAGCAGGGGAGGAGAGGGGGAGTTGGCGGGGCTGGTCACGGGCGCGTTATCGCGAATAATGAACGGTCTTCGTCGGGTGGGTCCCCCTCGCGCCACCTGGCAGGGCCCGCCCGGGACGGAGCCTGGAGGAGGGTCCAGGGGACAGGTTTTGGGCAGACATCAGTCTGAGGGCGCCAACTATTGTGAGTTCGTTTCCTGCCGACACAGCGACCACCCAAGGCGGGTGTTCAAGGTTGCATGCCTCCAGTGGCCCAGAATCGTCCACTATGGAGCGATCTGGCGATCGAAGGGCCGCCGATCGCTTCAAGGTCGAACGATCAACGCGGTGCCAGGAACCAACGCCAGGGTCGTCACGACACGCACGAGTCGTGCATACCCGCAATGGTCCCGGCAGGGCCGACCCTGGTCCTCGGATCGATCGGCGTGCATCGGCGTGCACGGCTGGGTCGCGGGAGCCGCAGCCATGCATCCAGAGCCCTTCAGCCCGTCCGTGGAGCTCTAAGAGAAAGGGCCCCCGAAGCCGTGCGATATCTTCCAATCCCTCCCTAGCCCTCCATCCTCCCCCCTCCTTCCTCCCCAGACATGCGATGTCTTGATTTGTCCCAGCCATCCTGTGCTGTTGGGCCCTCGTTTTGAAGAGACAGCGCCCCGCGTCCCACTCTCTCCTTTCTCCTCCCCCTCCTCCCTCCTCTCTCCTCCCATTCGTGCCTCTGCCCTCCGCATGTCCATGTCGGCACTCCCCTCGCACGCATCGTGGCCCCATGACAGCGATTGCATGGCGGCACCGCGCCTTCTTTGCCAAAACCCTCAGACGCCTACAGTGGATGCGGACGCATGGCGGCACACCCCTCACACTTTCCGTGGCCCCATAGGGAGCTCCACCGAGGGCCCCAGTGGTTGCTTTTGCATGGGGGCACCGAACCCAATTCGGCACACCGCTCACACGCTTCGTGCCCGCATAGGCACCGCGCCCATTCCGTCACACCCCTCGCGCGTTCCGTTGCCCCATTGGCAGCTTTTTTGAGGGCCCCAGTGGCTGCGTTCGCGTGGCGGCACCGCTTTTTTTTGGGTACACCTCTCACACAATTCGTGGCCCCCGATTAGCCTCCACCGAAGAGGCTATTCACAACCGTGCTGCCCACGATCCTTGTCTTCGCCAAGACAGAAACCCGACGCATTCCCCGGGGCCGCTTTTCCATCCCGAGCCGTTTTTGGGGCGGTCCTTTGGCCCTGGCGAGGGCCCCTTGGAGTTCGAAAACGGACACAGACCTCCCCGTCGTGATCTCTTCACGACGGGGCATGCTGGTGGGCCGATGGCCGGCCTGGCCAGGGTCAGTGTACTGTGTGGTGGTTGGTCGGCGTCCTCCTCGGAGGCGAGATCCAGCGGAAGTCCCAGCTGGAGCTCGAGGGCCTGAAGCGGAACCACGAGCAGGTTTCTGGGCGCCAGATCGGGAGTGGAGGTGGAGGGAGGGAGGGAGGGAGGGGGAGCAGAGTCCATTTCGATCCGATCGATCCGAGTCGATGTCGATTCCAGCCAGCTTCATCCGACCCGATTCTGATGTTCCGTCGATGCGACGCGGCCCGATGCTTACGCGGCACTGCTGTGCACCCTCTCGCAGTCGATCCGATTTGATTCCGACTCTGTGCCGATGCGGCCCGATTTGATGCACGTCTCGATCCGACCCGATGTATCTATTCGATGCTGGCCGCTCCTCGAGGGATGGAGGGAGGGAGGGAGGCAAGAAGGGGAGGAGGGAGGCAGAGCCGGTCGGTCGCACGATCGGGCCAATGGGCTTCTGGGGCAGTCTGTCTGCCACACGTGTGAGGTGTCCAGCCTGATGAACAGTTTCGGTAGTGCGTGTAGCCGCCCTACCCAGCGGGCACACGACTTCTGGCCCTAACCTTCCACCCAGGGCATGAAGGGAGGAGGGGGGAAGCGCATGCTCGAACGGTATCCATAGCAGAGCTTGCGCGGTTGATGCAACGCATCGGCTGCATGCCTATGGCGTAGCAGATGTTACTGGTTACCCCTCAGCGGGGATCGAAACTCAACTTCAAATATTTGGCGGTCGCCGTAAGAAAAGAAGGCGAAGTGCCGTATCGAAAGAGAGGGCGGAGGAGGAGGAGGAGGAGGAGGAGGAGGAGGAGGAGTAGGAGGAGGAGGAGGAGGAGGAGGAGGAGGAGGAGGAGGAGGAGGAGGGGGGGGGGGAGGGGAGAGGGGGAGGAGGAGGAGGAGGAGGAGGAGGAGGGGAGGAGGAGGAGGAGGAGAGAGGAGGAGGGGAGGAGAGGAGGAGGAGGAGGAGGAGGAGGAGAGGAGGAGGACGAGGAGCAGGAGCAGGAGGAGGAGAAGGAGGAGGAGGACGAGGAGGAGGGGGAGGAGGAGGGAGGAGGAGGAGGAGGAGGGAGGAGGAGGAGCAGGAGCAGGAGCAGGAGGAGGAGGAGGAGGAGGACGAGGAGGAGGGGGAGGAGGAGGGAGGAGGAGGGCGAGGGTTTCGAGCGTTTCTGGTTAGCTTTAGGGGGCTCCAGGAGGTTCTCGTATATTCAAGAAAACATCCGCCAAGCAGAGCGAAACACAGAGAGAGAGAGAGAGAGACAGAGCAATCGGAGGCAAGGTCGGCTTGGAACTCGTCTGTATTCCGATCGAATGACGCGGTCTTCTTTCCCCCCTCTGATAGCTCAGATGTCATTGGCGTGTAAGGCGATCGTCAGGGAGCACGGCAACAAGAAGATGGCCGAGCTCAATAGAGACAATGGGTTGGTGAAGGCGGTGGGGGAGGGAGAAGGGAGTATGAAGGATGATGATGAGGAGCGAAAGATCTTAAGAGAGGAGGGAGTCGAATGATCAGGTAGGAGGAGGGAGTAGGAGGGGGGAGAAGGAGGGAGAAGGCGGGAGATGGAAGGAGAAGGATGCAGGAGGATTAAGGTTAGAATCTGGGGATCTCTTTTGTGTAAAAAGACGAAACGTAACCGAATGACTTCCACCACACAGATGTCGCATTGTCTCAAGTCTTGCCCCTGCCACTTGAGCCCACGACTGACCGTGCTCAGAACTCAAGCAAACCAAACACTATAAGCCTGACCTTCTTGCATCGTTCGGACGTCTCTCACACCACTAACAGTTGAACGATCTGGCTATAGAGCTTCGAGATCAATCAGTCGAATGGTTCTCAACTAACTTGCGAGGTAAATCTTGTCGGCGGCACAAATGCAGAATGAGTGGGAAACGTTACTTCCAGGGAGCAGGAGGTAATCCGACCCATCAGTACAGAAGCAGAAACACGTGGCCGCTGCGTCGACGAGTCGGAACAGTCTGTTGGAGGTCATGACGCCGAGAACGAACTCCGAACACTTTTATACGGCCGTGCCGCTACCAGCTACCCAATCTAGCGCGAGTTTGATTAGCATTTCACCGCGATGCACGGCTACGCCGGCCTAAGAAGTTGAGTTCGTCAGGGCCCAATGTTTTAAGCTCGCGCTGTCCGAGAATTCCTCAAGTTCGACTAGCTTGCTGGTACGCCTGCGATGCGGTCACGGACGCATCAACCGACACGGACAGTACAAGTGGAACGCACCAAACGCCATTGATGGTTGGGATGAGCCGGATATTTGGCGCCGCTGGCAGCATTGTGGAATGGGTGGTTCTTGGCCGATCTGTTGTGGTGGGCTCCTGCGACGAGTGCCCCGTCGCGCACAGGCTGCGATGGGAGTCTCCACATGGACGGAACACTCGGTCGGTCGATTACGCGTATCCAACGACAGACGGGCGGGAGATGGAAAGCGGGGGGGCAGCTGGCAGGAAGGACAACTCCGCCCGAGCCACCCGGTTCCATATGATCCGACGGCTTCCTATCGCACGAGGACGAAGGCGCCGCGAAGTTCCTGAGTGCGCCGCGCAGTTGAGGAAAACGACACCAGGCTCCGAATGGAAAACGCCGTCGTCGTTTTAACCGGTAGTTGTACCCGCTATCCACGCTCGTCGGTCCGATATCGAGATCTGGCAGCATCTTTTTTCTAGTGACGGCGATCGCTTTGCACCGAACCGCCGTGGAGACGGCGCAGATTTGATTTGAGGGGCGCTGCCTCCTGCAGTCGCAGAAGGATGAGATAGCGCAACTGCGGCCCCCCCTGGCGCGTAGTACGCGGCGACTCCAGGGCTGGGGCAGCTTTGCGGAGGCAATCACGACTGAGTGGATTGCGAAGCTATGACGGCCAAGGGGCAATCTTGAAACGTCGACGTCGTGACGGTGCTTGAAATCGTGGGCAATGAGCGTCGTCATGAGCAATGTGTGGTCGACCCCCTTTCAATTGTATCGCAATTATTCCTTTGTCTACCTGTTGGTCAAGTTTCAAGCCTCTCGTAGTTACGTAACCGCGTATAGGATTGGTATGCTGCATGACGCGCGCAAGGCGCCAATCGGCCTGCGACGTTGGGCCTCGCAGCTCGCGGGGCCAGCGAATATATTTCAAACGGCTATTCCGTGCGGGGGGGAATCGCCGCGATAGGTTACCCAGAGACTCCCATCGGTCGTTGCCTCTACTTTTTTCCTGGTCGGCCCACTGTCTGGTGCGCCCGCTTGAGCCCGAGACTGATCGCGCTCGTGGCCCGAGGTTGCCGCCGCTGTGCCACAAGCGGAATGTTGGTCTGACGGTGACACCCCGTTATTTTGATGTCGTCAGGTCACCCGAACGTTTCCAACACAAACCGCCACTATTTGAACGATTCGGCTATAACCATCTCGGCGGGCACTTGGTCCAGTCGTGCACGAGTGGGGTGGGGGCAGGAGGGGAAAGGAGGCGGGATGGGGCAAGAGAGGGCGGGGATGAAGGAGGGGGGATGGCGCAGGAGATGGGTGAAGATGGGGATGCGGATGAGGATAAGGATGTGGATGGCGATGCGGATGAGGAGCAGGAAAAAGAGTAGGAGGAGAGGGGTACGGGGAAGGGAAGGGATGATTCGGCTGCTAATGACGATGAGGAGGGGAAGGAGGATGAACAGGTGGAGGAGGGGCACACGAGGATAATGAGAAAGCGATGGTGAGTGGGGTCTGGCGAAGGCCGCGGAGCTGTTGTCCACGGCCCGCATCGAGGCCGAGCAGCAGGCGCAGGCGCTCTTGCTTTCTTTTCTATGGAGGAAGGCATCATGGGACGAGGAGGAGGAAGACGAGGAGGAGGAGGAGGAGGAGGAGGAGTAGGAGGAGGATGAGGAGAAGGAAGGAAAGGAGGAGGAGGGAGGAAGGAGAGGAGGGAGGAGTAGTAGGAGGAACAAGAGGTGGAGGACAATGCCAATCACGCTGAAGATGATGGTGATGATGCCGATGATAATTTTTGATGACGAGGAGGAGGAAAAGGAGGAGGAGGAAACGGAGGAGGAGGAGGAAGGGTATGATGAGGATGGGGGAAGAGGTCAAGGACGAGGCGGAGGGGGAGGAGAAGGAACAGGACGAATATATACATGGATAAAGGAACAGCAGTAGGAGCATGGGGAGATCGTGAATAACATCCCGACGGTAATAGTTATGACGTTATGACGGTGGTGACGGCCAATGATGATGGTGATGGCGATGGTGATGACGGTGATGTGGAGAAGGATGAATAGGAGGATGAGCGGGTCGGGATCATCGGGCGCAGCGCTCGATGCACGCCAATCAGCGGGGTGGTCGTGTCCTTTGTTAGAGGTTGGGTGGTCCATGGGAGGCTCACTGTTTTTTCCCAACCATCCTGTGGTGTTGGGCCCTCGTTTTTTTCAGGCGACGGTCCCCGCGTTCCTCCTACCTCCTTCCTTCATCCCCGTCCTCCCTCCTCCCTGCGTTTCACCCACCTAGAACAACGCTTCGTGGCCGCATAGGGAGCTCCACCCAAGTGCCCAGTGGGAACGCCCGCGTGCGTCCCGGAATTCAATTTGGTATTTTCATCCGCTCTACAGCGCTTCGTGGCTCCATAGGGAGCTCCACTGAAGCCCCCAGTGGGACCGTCCGCATGCGTCCCAGAAGCCCAGTTTGGCATTTTCACCCACACAGTACAGCGCTTCGTGGCTCCATAGGGAGCTCCACCGAAGCCCCCAGTGGGACCGTCCGCATGCGTCCAGGAAGCCGACTTTGGAAATTTCCTCCACGCGGTACAGCCCTTCGTGGCCCCGTAGGGAGCTCCACCGAAGCCCCCCGTGGGACCGTCCGCATGCGTCCAGGAAGCCCATCTTCACCCACCCATTGCGGCGCTTCGTGGCCCCATAGGAATCTCCACCGAAGCCCCCAGTGGGACCGCCCGCATGCGTCCCACGCGTTCAATTTGGCATTTTCACCCACCCAGTACAGCGCTTCTTGGCCCCATGTGTTTCCAGTGTGTGGTATCGCGGTTGAGGCTGTCAGGAGGGTGGTCTGGGCCAAAGGCTCACCGCACACGCGTTGTATAGGTCGTGACCTGTGGCATCATGAGGAGGTTGGCTCCTGCGCAGGTGCTCCCGCCGATCGCCCCATAGCCGCGCGGGGTCTTTGGCTTCAGGAGACCAGGATTTCCGCCAGTGCTTAGGAGTACGCGCGTCCTCTCCACTTCTCCGTCTCCTCTCTTCCTCCCCTCTCTTCTCTCTCTCGCTCCCCTGCTGCTACCGCGCGGAGCGTGTTGTTTCATGCCGCGTGTCTTGCAGCAGCGAGGGGGGGTACGTAACGCATCCGTCGGTACAAGTTTGAGCTGTTTGTTGTTGGTTTTCGGCCTAGCTCGACCATGTCGTACACTGTTTCGACTCTGGCCGGATTCGGGGTGTGTCGTGTGCCACCTCTGCCCTTTCCGCCGCGCAACTGAATAGTACCAGAGCGCACGGAGAGCAGGCAGCATACTGCGCATCTTCCGCTGCCGTAGGTTGCCAATCGACGGAATCACAGTCATCTGACGCCTTTGTCCTGCGAGCGTGGCCGAAACCCCAGGCAGCGCTTTGTGTGTTTCACATTGCACGTAGCGCGCATGTCGAGAATGGTGGTCTCTGCAGCCCTCCTCCCTTCTCTTCCTCCTCCCGCCTCCCCCAGGGGCCCCACGCCTTGGGGGGGAGGGGCCGCTTCTTTGTCGGCGTCGTCGTCGTCGCCGCCGCCGTCGCCGTCGTCGTCGTCGTCGTCGTCGTCGTCGTCGTCGTCGTCGTCGTCGTCGTCTCGTCGTCGTCGTCGTCGTCGTCTCGTCGTCGTCGTCGTTGTCGTCGGGGGGCGGTCCCCTGCCTTCTTGGGCTTGTGGCCCCTCTGGGGGGGTGGCGTTTTCGGCAGCGACCGCGTTTTTCAGGTGCGTTTCCGGAGATGCGCTGTGCGGATACTCAGTCGGCTCTTTCCCGGCCGCGTGGCCGATAGATCGCGTGCACGGCAGTTCCTACTCCTCCGCCTCGCTCTGCCTCCCCCTCTTTCTCTCTCCTCTCAATTGGCCAGTGCCCACGCTGCCACAGAGGCTGACTGCTTCGTGAGTGGCCGGCGAGTCGGGCGGGGCCTGGGAGTTAATTCGGTGGTTGCCACCTTGCGGGAGGGGGCTACCACATCCGCATTGTCATTGTTAAGGTCGGCTCTGTCTGCGAGGCTCCGCATTGGGGGGTCTCGCCTCGCCTGCTTTTGGCTCCCTCTTTAGGTCGTTGTTTTTGCGGGCCTGGTCAGCCCTCTTTGCTTGCCTCCTTTCCTCCCGTTTCCTCGGCTTTGCTATCTTATCTCGTGCTGCCGCCAGGCCGTTCGACGTTCAATGGCTTGTTGGTTTTCGTGGTCATTCACGGAACTTCGCATTGCGCCCTAGGCTTTGTATACAACCATAGTGTGTTCCCCATTTAGTTGGCCACGTATTCCCTTCCCTCCTCCTCCTCCTCCCTCTTCTCCTCTCTCTCCGCCGGGTGAATTTGGCGAACGCCCAGGGTGGCACACTCTATTTCACCAGGTCGTCCCCGACGCCGGGACGGAGGACTCCGAGCATCCAGCTGCGCCCCGGGGGAGCGGCGGCCCGAAGTTGCAGCGCGACCTGGTCAGGTACGTTGACGCTGCCGAGGCCGGTGGCCTCCTGCAGCGCCACCGCGCGAGCGGGGCCTGGGAAGACAAGCGGCGCTTGTTTGACCTGTCTGACCCCGGGTGCTCGCACGAGTGGTTGTGGGCCGTCTCTCCCCACAAGGGCAAGCCCTTGACGGATAGCGAGTTCACGATGGCGGCCCGGATCCGTCTCGGCTGCGCTGGGCCAGACGAGCCGGTGGCTTGCGCCAACTGCGACGCGGGCATCCTTGGCAGAGCGGGCACTCACGCCATGCTCTACGCCAAGGGCCCCAGCACACGCGGCCACAACTCCGTTCGGGACGAGATCTTCGCGATGGCCTTGGGTGTCGACGCGGGCGCCGAGCTCGAGCCGACGGGATTTGTGCCTATGCACCCAGCGCTCCGCCCTGCGGACATTCTGACTAGCGCCTCTGGTATGACGGGGCGTTTGGCGGCGCTGGATGTGGGGATCACGAGTCCCGCGGCCGCGGGGGTAGGCTCAGACTGCGCCGAGGCCATGCGCGTGTGCAAGTGCGCGCACATGGAGCCCCACACCGAGGCCCCCGAGAGACAGGGGATCGTGTACCGGCCGATCACCTTCTCCTGCTTCGGCAGGCCGCACCCCGATTCCCTCGCGGCCGTGCGGTCCCTGGCACGGCGGACCGCGAGACGTCGCGGCACAGAACCGCACGTCGAGGAGCGGCGCGTGATGGCGAGGATCTCGGTCGAGATCTGGCGGCGGGCAGCGCGGATGGTGCTGAAGTGCTGGCCCTGCATGGGCGTGGACGACGGCGACCCCGAGGACCCCCTGGACCCGAGCGCGGAGGCCAGGGCCGACCACGGGGAAGAAACGTAAGCTCCCGTCGTTTCATCATGTAGACCATGCTCATGTCAGCAAAATTCCATGTCGGGCCGCATGAATCACACGTTTTCGACATACTCAGACATACACGCGATGCGTGTTTTGCTGCTGCTGTGCGTGCGGTGTTGATACACGCGCAAAGGAATGGCTTCGTTAAGTTTGCGCCGAGTGGTTTCATATTCGCCGAAAGGTCTCATGTTGGGAAATATTTGCCCACGTCTTCTTTTGAAGGCAGCGGGCTATTTTCACAGTTTCGCAGTTGTGATGCGCAACCATTCAGGCGCTGTCATATCGTTTTCACGGGCGGGCGTGTTAAAACGCTCCCCCCGGATACTTCCAGCCCGCGGAGTGGGTGACATGCACAGATCAAGCAGTATGTGCAACGCTGGGGTCAAGCTTTTTTCTTCGTGTGTTTGCATACCCGAATCCGGCTGCGCCACACATACCCGCACCCTACGAACAAACACCCTCTGCGGGTTTGAACATCAATCCTCCTCATTGGTATACCATGCAAAGATTGGATGACCAGTGCTTCGTCTCCGTTTAACGTACGACGTACGTTGCACATTGTGGAACATATCTTGCGGGGCCTGGAGGGCTCAGAAATCAGACGTGGAAGGAACGCGTTGCGCGCTATGGGGCGGAACACAGAATCATTCGGCGGATGGGGGGCATTGGTGGCGGAGTTCCCGCCGGATGCTCGGCAACAGTCGCTGCAGCTGCGGCAGTGTGTTTGCGGATTTGAGGTCTAACGACGCACGGTGTCCAGCTGGCCGTCGGATGGCCCCCGTGTGGTTCGGCACGATTGCGGCAGGGTCGACAAAGAGGATGTGGTTGTTTGAGCGGCCTGCTTGCGCAACTTTGCCCGTGGCCCATTGCGCGCTCGCGATTCCAATGGGCGATTAACCCGCGGCGGCAAGGTGAAATCCGACCCCGCGTGGTCGAATTTCCTTGGATTGATTCCGGTCGCCGCCCATGCAGATAACTATCGGTAGTGACGGCGTCATCGCACAGGTGCTAAAACACAGAGTTACGCTGCTCGCTTTTCTTCGCCCCTCCTCCCTCCTCTTCTCCGTTTTCCCCGCGAAGCGAGCGTAACACAACAAAACGTCCTCATCTCGCCCCCATCCCGCGCTGCGCGCGCAGGGGCGCGACCGCAGTGGAAGGCCCGGCGGAGGAGGAGGAGAAGAAGGAGGAGGAGAAGATGGAGGAGGAGAAGGAGGAGGAGGAGGAGGAGGAGGAAGAAGATGGAGGAGGCGGAGGAGGAACAGGGAGGAGGAAAAGGGAGGAGGAGGAGGAAGAACAGGGAGGAGGAGGAGGTGGAGGAGAAAGAGGAGGACGAGGTGGAGTAGGAGGAGAAGGACCATGAAACAACTATGAAGTCGGTTGAAGAGGGGACGGCTCCTTCCACTGCCGCTTCGTGCGGCGCATAAGCGTGAGGCCTTCCTGGAGCTGGTCGGAAACCCAAGAGGTACTGGTACGAGTGGGCGGAGTAATGAGCAATGCATGCACAGGGCCAGCAGTAGGAGTCGGAGAACAGAAAGTAGGCGTCAGCAGACATTTTGGCCGGCGCGTCAGGTGTTGAAGATGGAGACCACCGCTAAGCGCGACCGTACGAGGGTGGACATGGAGCGGGCGCGCGTGGAGCAGATCTCCAAGGCCGAGGCCGATGCAGAAACCAGGAGAGTTCAGGCGGACATCGTTTGCGCCCTTCGCCTCCTCCTCCTTCTCTTCATTACCCTCCTTGCTTCCGTCGACATATCCTCCTTCTTCTCCTTCCTCTTCTTTCGCCTCCTCATCTTCCTACAGGCGGACATTTCGTACGAGAAGGCGTTGATGAACGCGGAGGTGGAGAAGCAACGGTTCGTGGGCGAGGCGGAGGCCATTGAGAGGAGGATGTGGGGGAGGAAGACGAGCTTGAGGAGGAGGATCGGAGAAGGAGGAAGAAACGAGGAGGAGGAGGGGGAGGAGGAGGAGGAGGAGGAGGAGGAGGTGGAGGAGGAGGAGGAGGAGGAGGAGGAGGAGAAGGGGAAAGAGAAGGTGGAGCAGGAGGAGGAGGAGGAGGAGGAGGAGGAGGAGGAGGGGGAGAAAGAGGAGGAGGAGGAGGGGGAGGAGGAGGAGGAGGAGGCGGAGGAGGAGGAGGAGGAGGAGGAGTTGGAGTTGGAGGAGGAGGCCGACGACGAGGAGAGGGACCAGCGCTCAGACTGAAGAGGGGGTTCGGCCGTCCAGGGCCACGATCCGCTACCCCTCTAGGGGGCTTTCTTGGCAAGCGAGATCGACCTCGGAAACAGGCGGATGGCTCTCGTTTCGTGAAACCTCCCAGGCAATTTTTCCCCCACTCGGATTACCAATCTCGAGGTCGGTGGGGTTCGTCTCAGCCAGTTCTTTCACCAGCCGGGCCAGAGGGATCGGTGAACGCAAAACGATTGGTGAATTCGCGGCCCCCTTGGGATGTCTACCCTCCGCAACTCTCTGTTTTTGCAGACGCCTACCGTGGTTAGGGGGCTCGCCAGGGCAATCGTCTGCTAGTCCTCTGGTGCTCTCGGTGAAAGCTCCACAGGTCCAGCACAAAATCAAACCCAAGGGACTGCATTCGTCTCCGTAGCCAAAGAAATACCGATTGTGGCCTCGCGGATTGCACGCGAGGTTACTATGAAGCTCGCAGGAACCAGGGCAGTCCACTTGGTCACGTCTAGCCTTGGCTGCGCTAGTAGCGCAACTGTGGCGGCAGGCTGCACATATGAAACTCTTCCCCCAGGGGTGCCACTGATGCTTTCGACGCTGGTATCGGAGGCGAGAGGGGTCCTCGGCGGAGGAGGAGGAGGTTTCAGGCCCCACGAGAGGCCAGCCGACGCGGCCCCTGTGGGCGGGCTCAAACTCTGTATCGGTTTGTCAAAAGCTTTGGCACCAACCTTGGGGGCTACTGGTGGCCATAACTGCAAGGAGTTCGTTCTGGGCTTCCTGCAAGTCGGTCTCTTGCTGACTCGGTTGGGAGGCTCTAGCAGCGGCGACCTTCGCATATTTATCGGCAGCGTCGTTGCCTTTGGCTCGCCGCCACTCAGGACTATACTCTGGGAGCTCGTTAATATTGACGTGCGCTTTAATCTTGTTTAACCGCGGGCCCAAGGGGGTAGCACAAGCGCCACCCAGGACCTTGAAGGCCCCGTAAAAGTCGGACCGCGAAAAACTTTCCTTTCGGTGCACGTCTATGGCTCCTTGGTAATCTACAAACATCTGGGCGTGTGGGTGTACATTGAGACCAGCAGCAAGCACAGCACAGTGCTCAGCAGCGGGGGAGGAGGGGGGGAGGTATTTACCCACATGCCCGATGAGGTAGGCAAACACTTCACCGTGGCCATCGATGGCCACCGCTGACCAACCAGCTACGTTATCATATTTGTGCCCTCCAGGTTTGAGACAGGATCCATCGGTAAAAATCTCACCAGCAAGGGCCTCGTGAGGCTGCATGCTGGAGTCTCGACACCAAAACTCGGCATATTCGTAGCCAAACCCGTCAGGAGCCCCTGTTTCGAATTCAGGTTGGAACTGGAAACCATGCGCTACAGCCTGATCCACCTTCGAAATCGCGTCTAGTTCATCTGCTGTGATCGTGTCGCGTAACTGGGCACTGAGCGAGCAATGTAAAAGGAGGTGGCGCAAATCATCGCACTGGTGCCCACGCTGACACTTTCCGTCAGAGTCGTACCCAGCTCGCTGCAAACGCGCATTGGTCCAGATACTCTGGGTGAGAAAACTAAGAAGGGTGGATCTGGCTTTCTTTGGCAGCGTCTTCCCAGCCAACAATTTTTTGGCGATGCTGGCGTCGAGGGTCTCCTGGGGGTAACCGAGTTTCTCGGCGGCTTTGCTGAGGATGGCCTGCCCCCGGGCCTCTTGCATTTTCTGGGCTATCAGTCTGGGAGTGCAGGTTGTGAGTGGGCACCGATGCCCATTCGCATCCTGCACCTCCAAAACAGAAACGAAATTCCAACCTACCCGTCGAAGGGACAGACAGGCGGCCCCAAAGGGGCCTCTCTCGGCCGCCCACTTCCTAGGCTGGTTCAGAAAAATTGGCTCGGCTAGGCTTTTCAGTTCAAGTAGTTCTCGGGGGTGGCTGGGTCTCGTCGCTGCGCGCCAGATCATGGTCGACCAGGTCAGAGCAGGACCTAGCCCTGCTCGCCAAGTAGGGTCTCCTAGTACCGCCAGACTTAAGGATCTACTTCTCGTCGCGCATCGGGGCCCCGCTACTTTTAATTATTCCGTCTGGAGGTTCTGGAGCTCCTGGGGATCCATGCCGACAGCCCCAGTGCCATGCGTAAGGGCTTGCTGGAGCCCCATATTCCAAAGCTTTCTGGTGTCTCCTCCAGCTATCTTGACAGCTCGTATTCGGTGCCGTCGTCGTTTGTGTTTAACAAAACGCTTGTAAAGGGTCGCTTTCGCTACGCGTCGTCGTACTCGATGCCTCGATGCCCCCGCAGCACTGTCGATCCCAAGATTGGTGGCACTGTGGGCATCCTGGGGCCCCGCATACTTCCCGAGGGCCTTCCTATTTTGTCTTCGCAGTCTGGCGGTAGAAGCAATAGACTGATCTTTGTGTAGCGCCAACTTGCACTCGGGCTCTTCCGTAAACAGTACTGGTAGCCTAGCCGCAGAGTATTGCAATTGTCGTACTAGGGCCTGGGGGTCTGTTGCTGTCCCAGGAATAAATCGTCAATGAACATCTGGAGGTCCGTGCCCTTGGAGTTTGCTTCAGTCCAGGTATCCAGGGGACTCAAACTGTAAACTTGTACCAAAAACGTGGCCCAACCGCATCCAGCTGCAATGCCGCGTGTGGGGTGGTCCACCAGCTGGACCAAGTCTCTGGTAGCCACCAGTCTCGTGCTACTGTACTGGTTTAGAATAACCTTCAACAAGACGCTGCTAGAACCGGTGTCGTGGGCCCTCTCTATCAGCTTCTGGTGACTGATGTGCTCATAGTAGTGGCTGAGGCCCCACAACACCGCGTCTGAATGGAGTGGATCTTGGCAGGCCACTCCATTCTCAGCCTTGAGATTCTGGCGAAAGACTATTTCGGTGATGCTCTTGCCCGCCTGGTGGGCCAAGAAGGGTCGGCGGTGCTTTGCCTCCCATTGTCTCGCTTCAATTTGTCGGACCTTGGACCATATTCGGTATAGCCCTGGCATCATACCTATTCCTCGGAACTGGGCCACAGTCTTGGCCTCTGGCTTCGCTTTGGTCTTGGGGATCAAAACCGAGACAACTGCCTGCAGCTGGGTGGGCATAGCACCTATCTTCTCGACCAGGTGCAACTATCGGCAGACCAGCGCAGCCTGCTCCAAATTCAGATTCTGAAAATGCTTCGGGTGAAACCCATCCCATGTCGAATCTGTCGTATGCGAGAAACGTTTAGCGGCGTCTATGAGATCCTGGGGCTCGATGGGTGACAAAACGGGCTCATGAGGGCCAGCGGGGACATGATAGTGGGGCCTGTGGTAAGTCGTGCCCCGAAGCTCTCCAAGTCTCTCAGCCTCGTGCTCCAAGACGTGTGAGGGTCTACCAGTCCAAGTGCGTTTCCAGGGGACCTCGTTGGTGTTCCACGCGTCGAGCATCTTACTCCGTCGGTGAGCCCACCCTCCGTTTCCTTGCGTCCCAATATGAACCCACTCGCGCCAGGTTTTGTTGGCAGATCGTTTTTCCAGGTCGATATCGACATCAAGGCTCTTATTGATGGCCTCCAAAACGTCGTCCAAAACTTGTCTCCCATGGGAAATCTCCAGGACCTCGGCTTCAACGTCCAGGACAAGGAAATTGAGGGTCTGGTGGGTGGTCTCTAGGCACTCGCGGAGCGTCTCTATCTCGCAAAACTCGTTCGGGGGATCCTCTAGGCACGCAATGAGATCGGCAAGGGCGTTAGCATCTAACTTCCCGAGGGTGAAGTAGAACTGCTGCACGACATTCCGAAGCCATCGGAGCGGGCCTGCCTGGGATTTCCACGCCACCCGATGTGTCTTCAGAGACTGTTTCGCTTTGACCCATTTGACCCTAGGAGGGCACGCTCGCGGTCTAGAATTGCGTTTCAAGACCGTGTCCGTCAAACCCGCGATCGTAACTTCCAAATCCCTGGCCAGGTAGTGATAAACTTCATCAAGCACCCGTTGGTTTCCCCTTGGATCGGTCTATCGATGCTCCTGTTGAGGATGGCTTCGGCAGCGTCTAGGGCAGCTTCTGTGGCAATCCAATCGCGCTCTGGCAATCTGGGGCCAAATACAGGCTTGGTAGGCAATCGCTGCGGCTTGCACAAGACAGGGACTGTGAAATCCTCGCCAATCTCGATCTGAACACTGACAGGACGATGTGGTGAGAGGGGATAGGACACATGAACATGAGGTGTGTGAAGCACATGCTGGAGACATCCATTGTATACAAAGTATACAAACATGATTGAGAAATCTTGGTTCTGCATGTCGGGGAGGGGGGATGTATGATCTGCATGCCTGCGCGCTGTATGAAGTCATTCTTCTGCAGCTTGCTAGGACTCATGTTGTTGTCCCCTGCTACAAGATTGGGAATCTGGTGTTCATGCTGAAGGATGGCGGTGGCCGCCAAGAGGTTCGAATTTGTCTCGTTCAGTCCTGTGCTGACCTGCGTGCACACGGAAAGAATTCCTATGACACCAAGCCCAGGCAGCTCTACTCTTGCACCGACCAGGCGTCCCTGAGGTACCATGTCCTGAGCTTCCCTGGGCACCTTCATGTCCTGAATCCCAGAGTCCCGCCCACTTCTGATCGAAATGCAAACTCCAGAAGCCGGGGCCCCCGTCGAGCTGAATGTGCCTGTCTCAAGTGAGGCTTTCCATCCATGCCGTTCACACCATTGACTAGCAC